CGTCTTACTAGCGCGTCAGTGCCTACTATGAACGTGACCATACAACCCATATTTACTGACAAACACCTAGGACCTCTACAACAACCAATTTCCCTGCTAGACTCCTCAACAGCGGAGCTTGTGAGCCTACTTCGGTTCTCACCCCTCTGGTCAATCCGGTGACTGGCGAGAACGTCCCCGATTTCCCGCGCACCTATGGCGAGGTCCGGCGACTTAACGGTATTTATTCCATTGTTTTGTTTGTTTTCAGGTTACAAATTCATCTAACATTTGAATCTTAGCTCGTGAGCTCGGTGCCCTTCTGCGAGCCCTCAACCTGCGCGCTGCTAGAAACGCTGAGCAGAAGCGAGGTGACTTCTTGCGCGCGATTGGCGCTACCCGGGACCGGGTTACGCGCCGTTAGTTTTTTTCCCAGGTTATCGCATTCTGGAATGGAGTTTGGTGTAATCAGTTCGTGAGAACAATGCCCATTTGTAGTTGGCTATCAGTTTTGATAGAACTAGACCCAGGGAAAAAGGAATAGACAAGGAACTGCCTTGATGAATAAGCTTTGACTTGCGTGAATGATCCATTCGGTGCAAAAGTACGCGATGAGATGATCCCAACCTGTCGCTTGAAATTATGCAGCGTTTTGGTGAATGCTCAGGGCATCCCCCACTGTAGTCCCTCCTGGAACTGGCCACTGCGGGCTCCAGTGGTGCATGGGTAAATCGACGCGCCACAAGGCACAGCACACTACCCGCTGTATCAACACTGTGGCCTCGAGCCCTTGTAAACACGCCCAACCTCAGCAACTACGGGCGTCTCCCTCTCCTCATTTAGAATCGCTAGACTTCACAACTATACCACCTGATTCAGAACAAGAATGTCTCACATATAAGTCAATTCACGCCAATATCAATAAACCAAAACTTTATACCACCAACTTTTGGTCTATTCAGAAGCTTCTTTATCTATGTACTCACTTGAGCACCCCTCGGCATAACTGCGCCCTTCCTGATCGTCCCGTAAGCACTACTCACTTGAGTAAGCTTGCCGCAAATGATCATCATGGACTGAACACTCGTTCCTCTGCTCACTTGAGCAACTCTGTACGGTAAGTGTGCACAGATATGGCATTCCCATGTCGATCTACTCACTTGAGTGTTGCTGTGAAAATGACCAGCACATTCCAACACATCTCCCAAGCCTCAACGAGCCCATACACTTGTACAGGCTGCCCATCCTGACATCCAAAGTAACAAAGGGAAAGCTTCTTCCTACCTACGCACTTGGTAAGCTCGATTGATCTGTGCAGTATAACCCAGATAGTCTCAGAGAAGGGGGTCTTGCGGAACAAGGTGACCATAGCGGTCCATCCAAGCTTCACTTCCGACAAATCTCCAAGCAATGACAATACCATATTCCTCGGAAATCTTCTTATCAAAATTGACGCCCAGGTTGCTCAGAGCAGGGTGAGTCCCAGGGACGGTCTTCTTGTATTCTGCTCCGTGATAATGATCATGCAGCTGTTCGCGAGTCATCGTGATAACCTCTATTGTTGTCCCACGGGGGTATGAGCTTAGTTCTGATGGAATCTCAACCTCTTGAACCCGCCATCCTTCCCCAGTACCCGGCGAGCTTAAGGCATGTAGGGCCAGCCCTTGTGGACATGGAAACTTGAAGTCCCGGCAGTCTTTATACGTCCGGAGAGCCACACAAGCCACGTCGTCTTGGACTGGTAATCGGAGGTATTGTTCGTGGTCAGCAACTTGCTTTTTGATCCAATTCTCATAGTGCGCATTAATAGGCTGGGCCAGCAATGGTAGGGTGGCAGAGAACACATCTTCGTCCTCGGAAGATATTGCAGGGGGACTCCGGTAATGGTGCTTCAGCTCCTCGATAAAGGAAGCTCTTATCCACTTTGCCTGCTCGATAAATATTCCCGCATAATCGTAGGGGGGACGACAAAACTCGACAGTCATCGCGTTTCCTTTTTCTGGGATAGACAGTAGCACATTCACCTTAACGTCAGGGGGGTTATCGCGAAGTTCGTCTTTCAGGTGAGGTTTATCCAATAGCTGCATAGCCTCAAGATCATTTCTGCCGTCTTCGTCATCCTCTGCGAAGGAACAAGTCAATGCCTGAATTTCCTCACATACCTGCTGAAGTCTAGATTCATCATATCGGTCAATGTTTTCCATCACACAGCCGTAAGCAAGGCTGCTCATGCTTTTCATGATGGCCAAACAAGATCTGGCGATGATATCTGCAGGAACATGACCTATGCTCTTGGCAAGATTCTCGATAGAAATGTGGAGGCTGTCCAGCTGGTTCTGGATGAGCTGCTTCTTGAGTTGCTCCATATTCTCTTCTAAAGTTTGTGGCATCTTCAATGTAGAGATTTCGAAGCTTTGTGTATGGTGAAGAGTTTAAAGAATGGTGACGAGAAGGTGTAGTGGTGGAAGGTGGTGGTTAGCACTGCTGTGGATGAGAATTGATCTTCATAAGCGGCCAAGTCTCGTATTTAACAACGTTGAATCAGCAATTGACTTGGCACTTGTTCGTAATTAAACTGCACTCATTGTATCCTCTTTCATTACGGAAATTCTGAGCTTGTGTCTTCTGGGTAGGACTGCAATCTATTTCGGTATATCTGCAATTGAACTGTTAAAGTAATACTTAATAATCCCGCAGTGACTGCACCACTATCTGTGTACCGGGATAGCTACGAGTTGAGTAAATGACCTAGTCTTCCTGTTAGTACTTTACTGTCCGAACACGAGATGAACAAAAGATAAGCTTCAATGAACCTGAGTGAACATGAGTGACCATGGAATGAAGTCTTGAACTTCTGCTTAAGAACAACAATACGTACTAAAACATTAATTGGAATACAGCATAAATGGCATAAAGAATACTCAAAAGTAAGCATGTTCGTAAGCAAATCTACTGATGGCTTGAACGGTAGTAATTCTCCTTCCTTGTCATGTCTTGCAGGCTTACGGGCTATACCCACTGACTGACCTTACGGTCTGCGGCACAGAATGATTCAGCTTTAACATTACTCGCACCACGAGAACTTTCTATTTAGCCTAAGTAGCGAACCTGAGACACTGAAAGGTCAGAGCTATGGCGCAATGAATAATTAGAAGACGGGAGAGGAGTCTGAGCTTCCTTGGCATTGAGATAATAATAAAAAGTATAAAATAAATTAGGTAAGCTATAATAAAATCATATTGAATGTGATGATATTCGATAATATTTAATAAGATTAAGTGAGCTACTATGGGATTTGACGGGTTATGATGTTAGGTTGCGCCATCCGCTGCCATTATGACTGAAAACAACATCAACAAAACCGATCACTTTCGATGCAAGTGTACTCCAAGTACAGAGACTATGAGCCTAACATCTCTTTCTCCTGATATGCCACCAGAGGATCCTCGTTCGCAGCCTTTCAAGCCCCAGCGCAAATATCCCCGCTGCCTTCGCCGCCAGCCTCTAGTAATCACGAGCGAGCTTTTACTTCTGCCGCTGACGAGCTATTAAGATCTCATCGAATCAGAGCGATTCTATGAGACAGAAGGCTGCCTCTCGAAGCTTACGAGTCTGCTCCTCGGCTACGAAGACTACGTCCGCCTCGTTATCGCGCTCACTTATACAAATGTTGTTGCGATAGCGCTGACAAGGAGTCGAACTTGTCACTGGCTAATCTATACAAGTCAAGATCAGTGATCTGTAGGGGTCACGGAAATAGCTGTCTACGGTGAGGCAAGCCGTGGACAGAAGGTGGCTAAATGGAACAGGAACTGGTTCAGCCTTGGTATAATCTCTGAGATACTGGCAAATTATGAAATGAACTACATTTTCACAAATGTGTTCTGGGAGGGATTGTTCTGGGGACTTCAGGATAGGTAATTCAATTCTTTGTCAGTCTTGCATTCCAATAATGCAGGAAGCGAGCTGTGAACCTCAACTTCACGATTGCTCAACCTACAGTTTCCTACCAATATCGTCCAACTTCATATAGTCCATACATCGTGTGCTCCCCGCATACCTGGCATGACGCGTCCCTCTCTTCTTTAATCTTCTGTAAACACTGCCTTCCTTTTCTGTTAGCTCTTTCACATTCCTCCCTTCCCATACCGTCGAACGTGAGTACATCTCGAACGTTGGGATCTTTCTCGCAGGCACCGCAAAGGGTCCGACGATACAGGTCCTTGCACATGATTGAAGCTGTTATTAGGTGTTCTTGCAGAGCTGGTTGGCTAGATGAGAGGCTCGAAAGTGAGTTGAGCTGCCTGGAGAGTGGGAGCTTGCGGGACTATATATAATAATCTTGGTCGGGCTTCTGATGTGACCGAGGTGAACAGGTGCAGATATCAATGGTGGATCGGTCAGACAAGGTCATGATTCAGACGTCACATTTTATGGCAATGACAGCGAAGACAAACCCAGTGTTCATGGCTGATTATTGAATCAAGAGAACCTGCTGCCATGTTGAACAGTAGTCTCTTCATCACCAGCACTCTGAGTAACGGTTCAATCAACCACGCAAATGATCAGTGAAGCAGGGCTTCAGTGAAATCTGATGAACCAACGTTCATTTATTGATTGACCTGACAGAAGGTGTTTACATCTCGCGCCTTACCCAGGCCAACATTCACGGCAGGCTCACTTCATATCTTCGCTCCCTCACTTCAAGTAAGTTTATTCGTCTGGCATACTACCCAATACATCAAAACTTCACAATGGCCTTAATTCTAAGGCATATGAAGTGATAATGGAGGCCTTGCAGAGTTAATGCTCGGTGTATAAGAAAATCGATTTACTTGCTGTTTGTACGATTGACAGAATAGATACTATGAACCGCTTTATTGTCTTCCTGAGCCTTCTAAATCTAAGTTTTGCTACGATCCCAGACATTCATCGTCTTACGGTGCAGAAATCTTACTCAGTGTTTTGTGTTAGTTAGCGGCTGAACAGTGTACTCGGTGCTAGCATAGAAGCATGTTGTCCTACTTCTTGCCAAACACCTTCTTGACCTTATCCGCGAAGGAACCAGTCTCTTTCTTGGCGACTTCTTGTTGGATCTTTGGTTGATAGTCATATGGCTCCGTGTAGCACGTGCCACTAGCTGTATTGGCATGGCATGCTGGACACAGCCATGCCTTGTCGAGCACAATCTTCTTCTTCCCCGGACAGGCCTTGCCCTCCTTGACAGCTTCGCATAGGTCTTCGTCAATAAGCACGAGGTCCTCGGCTTCGCAGTTGCCGCAGGTTCTGGTGGTCGATTTAACGATACACATGGTGGATATTGTTGTAGGGGTAGCTTTTGGTGTTGTTAATTGGTAATTGGAAGAATTGAGAGTAGAAGTTGTTGCAGCAGGTTTAAGTGCTGCCCTATTTGTTATTCTCATGCGTGATGGGGCGTCGCTTGAACAGCGCAGGTTCAGAATAAGGAACCAGGAGACAAAGCGGCACAGTGAGTCAATGTCACCACCTGGCGGAGAGTGAAAGGCCAACAAAGAACTTCAGGTGTTGGGCAACAAGGCACGACCAGTGAATAATGCCAGGCAGTGACACGACGAAACCCCAGCCTACAAGCGGCGAAGATACACAAAATGCTCGTCCATGCGCCAATTGTTGACGTAATCCAAGGCTTGAGTCAAAGTCATCAGTAATTCAGGATGAGACTAAAGACATTATGGTCTACAAATGAAACTTCAGAGTACGTTACGGGATGTGGCCATGATGATGGACCGCTATATCCACAGGAGCTTTACAGCTAGTATATCGCGGTGAGTATTGGGCTACATTTAATCTTCCTTGAACAAAAATAGAAATAAGCCACGGAGTAAGATGGCAGATCTCAGAGTGAGACAAGGGTCACATTCACATCAAATCACGATGCTGAGACAGCGATACAAATTATCGGGTCTCAGGCCATCTTCCTCACCCCCGAGGACAAGCCTCAGAAAGCAATGAAAAGAATAAAAGAAAACACGCCTGTCAGACGTCCATCAACACCCACCCCAGCCACGCGCCCGAAGGCAAGACCACAGCTGGGGTCGAGATCATCAAGCAAACCATCTCTATACAGCAGATGCACGAGGCAACCACCGCCATCCTTGCGGACAGAGCGAGAGGACCAAAAGGTATTCACTCTAGGGTGTCGAGGATATACATTCATCAACCAGGGTGGGATCTGTGGCTCTTTTAGGGAACCAAGAGAAGGTCGAATACTATAGAAATGATTCTCCTGGAAACGTTGTTAGTGGCCGTTTGGTGGGAGGGTGAGTGATAGTAGGTAGGGGGGACGTACTGAAGTATTGTCGACATGAAGAAGAAAAGAAAAAAATCCCAAAGGTCTGAGCAGGATCGGTTTTTTATAGAGAGGTACAGTGGGGCTAGGGGACTTGCGCCTGAGGCAGAGTGAAAACTCTGATTTTGGCCCAGCCACTTTTTTTTGTCACCTCATTTCGCTAACGGAGAAGAGTGAGCGCGTTTAGTGGGTATCTCGAAGACTTGAGCAAATGGCACTGCGATTGACTGAGAAATCTGCAAAGAAATGATGCTGCTAAGTAGTAGATAATTCCATTGCTACAGAAACATTGCAACGGGCCGATCAGAACAGAGATTTTTCTCAGTGGTGACTGTCTGCGAAAGATGATTGCTGAAAACTCGTCAGAGGAGCTGGGGCGCTAGTGCGGTTCAACATAGCGGCGTGGACAATATCGCTGAGCATCACGTCCATCACCAATACTGTAGGGTAGCTATTCATTTACTGGCAGATGCGTATTGCGTTAACAAAGGGTCGACGAGGAGACAAGGCAAATAAAACCTTCCCAGCTGAAATATCGTTGAATTGAATTGATGCTTGAAATAATTGACCGCACTTGATACGGGTTTCTGCTTAACTCTTTGCATTGGAATCTCTTGATGTTGCGGATGAAGTTGTTTTCACTGAGCTGCATTCCATATCGTGACGCACGATAAACACAGCAACAAACAGCGACCGGAGCTTATAGAGAATAAGAGTGACATTCGGCAAGAAGACTAGATAGTTTAACACAAGAAAGATGTTTCATCTTTTAACAGAAATTACAGACTGTGAGTGTCCATGTCAATCTTCAAGCTACCAATATGCCTGAGACCGCACGTTACCAAACCGACCCACTAAAGTGCGCTCGATTTCCCACCAAGTGTGTGTGAATATAGTGCGTAAGCCAGCCACAATCTAGCACATACGACCAAAGGTAGTGGAAAATACGGGATCCCGTCCGCTCTCCCATAGTCAAGCCACTAACCGGCGGATTAGTAGTTGGGTCGGTGACGACCAGCGAATCCCCGCTGTTGTATGTATCTTTTGCCATTTTTGCCCTCTGAGATTGCTTGACTTGTTGCGTTCGATTTGCGTTTTTGGTGGTTGCGAAGTTGGCTGTTGGTTGCTGACAATGATCCCTGTCGATGTGCGCTCACCCTGGACCAGTCATGTTCAGCGTGTCGGAACATCGAATTGCTCATCGAATTGACAATAGCGTTTTCTCCTGGTACGCGCAACATGTCGACTGAGCTGATCAATTCATTCCGCTGAAGAGGAGGTCTGGCTCTTATTATTCCATGCAAACTCGCGGGGGCAAGCCCTGTTTTATCCGTTTTCCTAGAAGCGATGCCAGTGCTCTGTGACATGTCTTTGAGCACTCTCCAGCAAAAGTCTACAGCATAGGTATATTAGTGACTGATATCAGTTTCACTTCAGAGCATAAGCACGAAGTCCCATTGAACAAATACCCAACATAATACAGCCCTATTTACACACTGACCAGCAGATATCAACTAAGCTCACGAGATCAAACACCCAAACAGAGCACATCAACCATTCCCCCATTCAATTTACTACTATCGACAGAACTCCCATCAAGCCGCACCGATGAACCAGGTAGTCCTGTCATCCCGATCTCTCGGAATGCCCCCAGGATGTATAAACGTCATATCAACTCTATGTTTCGTGACCGGCTTCTTCTGCGCAATCCTTACCTTCTCAAAATAAACATACGCCCCATAAAACACACTACTATTCGCCCCAGCATTACTCCCCTTTGCCTTTCGGAAGCCCGAAAGCTGCTTTGACTCTATACCCTTGCACATCGGTGCTTTGAACTGCCCGTAGATATCCCTGCAGAACTGCGCTTGCGTCACACTTGGGATTTTCATGTGTGCGTTTATCTTGCGGCGGATCTCATCGCTGTCGTCGAAGATGGGAACGTAGTCTGTTTCTTCGCCTACGAGGTGAACATCACTGATATCAGGAAGGTCTACGCCTTTAGAGTGAGTTCCGTCAGAAGCGTCTTTCTTGCTCTCCTTGAGCTGGTGTTTCTTGGCATCTGGCATCTTGAGACCCATGACTTCACGTTGTTGAAACCATGCATATGCATTACGCCAGACAGCACTGTTAGATCCGCCAAAGGGACCTTTCTGCTTGAGGAATTTGTTAAGGGAGTTTTAGTTAGCAATAGTGGCTCTGCAGAACTCAGCCTTGGTAATGACGCCCGAGTCAAAGAGCTTGTTCAACTTGGTGCGGATGACATTGCAGCTGGGAAGTCTGTCGTTCTCAAATGAGGCGTGCTCGACGGTGTCGTTCAGGTCTGCCTTGTATTGCAGCAATTTCTTCATCGAGGGACAGTTCAGCCTTGCGCTTCTTGCCAGAATATGGAGTCGTCTTTTTCGTAGGCGAAGGCTTTGGAGGAGAATTTTCATCAAGTGCAGCTGCTTCGACTTGCTTGTCCTTGATGCTCCTCCCTTTGAGTTGAGGATGGTCAGTGAGGACTTGAGCTAGGGAGTCACTGCGGATCTAACCGCTTTCTTGGTGTTCAAGACCTCTGGTTCAAGCGGCGCGAGAGGCTCTGGCATCGCGTAAGTTTTTGCTTGGAAGTTGATCTCAATTGAAGGTATTATTCATCAGTATCGCAAATTTAGTTGGCTGGTTGTACAGGATGGAGAGGAACGTGGTTTAGTGGGCCTACGTCACTTCGTGTTCGTCTCGCGCGTCCAGGACCCGCGCTTATCGATAAGAACTCGTTGGTGGAAATCATAGCAGATAGTGTCTACATAGATATGCGTCTAAGTTACCTGGAGGGAGAAGTATGCACTATCAGTTGTAAACTTGACAGGTGGAGAAATTCTCAAGACATGTTTCAACCCCGCACCCACAATTCTCTGAACCATTCCCATTTTACCTCCGCTAGCATCAAACGAGCCCAAGTCCACAGATCCGTTTTAAACTGAGCCTATCTAGGGATAGGTACCATCGAGTAACCATGATAGACCTGGACGAAGCAATGTCTATAACCTGGGTTGACGGCGACGAGGATAATAACGAAGCGATGCGGAGCGTGGGCTTCTATGAACACGCAGAAGCACCACGTGTATTTCCATCCTTGGAAATATACACGACCCAAGAAGTAGATACACGCTGCATGATTTGCGGCGTCAGCTTTCACATCAGCCGTCACCGAACAAATGGAGAACATCCCTCCGCGGCATGGAGCAGCCATGCAGGAGATGACATTGGAGCATATCCCGGAAGCCAAAACTGCGTCCAACCAGACTGCACTTCCATCCCAAGAAGTGGCCCAGGACCAGGGACGAGTTTTCTCTCCCCAAGAAATCTCGGCTCTAGCCGCTCTGAGCATGTTTCTGGGCCGAACTGCAGATCGACCAGTGCATACCATGGAAGCCGCATCTCAGTCGAGGCGATGAGAGAATGCAACACATATCAATGCCTCCTACTCCGCGACGAGTCATGGGAGCCAGAGGATAGCGAACTCGAAGATTTTGAGAGGCAAGACAGCCATGTACTCAGCGGCTTGGCGGATGCTGTGAAGTCTAATCGCAGGGGATACTATGCACCGCAATTCTTCCCAGAGCGAAACAAGGTCCGCTACACAGTGACGACCTTTCTCAGTGATGGGGTTCCGGCGATGCCATTCCATCCGACATGCTTTGAGGTTTTCAAGCGGGCGTCGATATATCGATATGGCTTTGTGAATGTAAAGGCTCTAGTGAGTTGGGCACAGGAAAGAGCGGCGCCGTCGATGCGGCTACCAGAACATGCCGCTGTGAAGAGAGCAAGGCAGATGCAATGGATGCATCACGCCGGAGACGAGTTTCTGGCCGCGAATCCGTGCTTCATCCCTGGATTGCAGGACATTATCGATTCCGTACAGAATATCTACAGTCCCGATGATATTTGTTCAGATGCGGCACCGCCCGCCCTAAACTCTACAGACATGTTCTCCAAGCTCCCGCAGGAGATCAAGCTCGAGATCCTACTACAGCTGGATTCCTGGGACATCGCCAGCTTGCGCCTATCATCACGAGCATTCCGCCACCTCCCGCAATCGCTCTTCTACCAGCTAACCCTCCGCGAACTCCCCTGGCTGTACGAAGCATGGGCGCCCCTCCCGCTCTCATTCTTCGTCACGACAACTGCAGTTGAACAGCGAAGAATCGGACAGAGGCTGGATGAAATCAATCAGAAAATCTCAGTTCGTCGTCAAGACGATGATGGATCGGAAGAGAATGCAGCAGAGATTAAGAGGTTGGCTAGTCGGGCGGCTAAGCTTGAAGAGAGGCGGAAGCAGAGTTACAAGACTACGCCTGTTAGGCTGTTGGACCGGAGGAGTACTAATTGGACGCAATTGCGGGGGGAGTTGGCCCGACGGTGGGGAGAACTGCCGGGGCTGAGGAACAGAAGGAGGATTTGGAACAGCTGCCAGGAAATTATGGACCGTGCAGAAACAATTCCTACTGAGGAACAAGACGATGACCAGGGTCTCGGTCAGTGGATTGCTTATTGAACAGCTTATCGCGGTAATTACCATAGCGTCACTCAATAAACAAGTTTGCTCCCCCCCAAGCCTCACAGCACGGTCCATACTGCATGCCATTCCTTTATTCTCTTTATCGGAAAAAGCAAAGAATTTGTATCGAGATGAGTCATCAGCAGCCTGCCTCACGAGGCTGCTGTGTGTGTTGTTCACACCACTCTGTCGTCTTTTCAATTGCGATAAGCAAACGCAACAAAGAAAGCCTCATTTTAATGGGCGGCACATTTCAACGGCTAACGCTGGCCCCAAGTGGGACTTCAAACCTGGGGTAAAATATCCACTACTACCGCCCTCGGCCGTTATGACGTGGACCAGAAAACCCAATTCCTCCCAAATCCCAATACTCTGTGCTTCAAAACCATGGAAAGGAACAAAAAGAAGGCCTGTAGAACAAATCTGACCGACATGAGACTAAACTCCATCAAGAAGGTGTCCAAATCCTAAAAAGAAAGCCTAATCTTTACGCTGGCGGGCCTGAGAGATAACGACTGCGTTTTCCGCTTGGGCCAATTGAACCCTTATCTCGGTGGTCACTTGATCAGCGTCGCAGTGTCTCGTGTTGATTCGCCCAACAAAGCCCAGTCTTTGGTGTGTGTGGGCGTGATGACTGCGCGACTTTTCCCCCCATTGAGCCAATGCTTGGGTGATGCAGACAAGGGTTGAAAATAAGGCAGCCATTTTATCGACAGCCAAGCTGACGGGGCGTATTTTCTCGCTGTAGTTTATCAGTGGTTGCCGCCCTTTTTCAGCTTTGGTGCTGGGGGAGGGTTGCACAGAATGTCTGTCGGCTTGGCCTGTCAACGTTGTGGCAATGCTAATTGCTTGGCCCCTACCAGCACCAACACCCTATCACCCAGCCCAGCACCAGCACCAGCACCAGCGCAGTCTAATCTAAGGCAAATCCTACCGCTCGTATCTTCGGCATAAAGAGCTCCCTACGTCGCCCCTCTTTTTTTCTCCCATTCTCTCGTCTTCCCCCCCGCCAAAAAGCTCTCTCTCGTCTCTTCATTCTCGCTTTACGCAATTCGATGACTCCCAGCAGCGTGTCTTCGCTGCTGTCGCTTCAATCATGACGGGCCGGGTTCCCAATGTCTGGGCCGCCATCATCATCCCCGTGCCCGCGAGTGCGCTCGCGCTGGTTCTGAGGATCAAGGCGCGGCGCATGACTAAGATGGGCGTTGGTTATGACGATGCCTTGTCAATCGCAGCTTGGGTACGCCCTCACCCTAAAGTTAAGACGTGACAAATAAATGCTTATGCTCGTGTAGTTTGTGGCTCTTGGTTATGCAATTCTTCTCATCGTGTGTGAGTGATGCTCTTTTACTCCATCTCATCAATTTAATTAACGTACCAAGGGACTACATGTTACTACATGGGTCGCAAAATCGGCCACTTCCCCGAAGACAAGATCGATCACATCCTCGAGAAATCTCACGAGATCCTCTTTGCCAGCGAGATTCTGTACTCATGGTCAATCTTTCTCAGCAAAATGTCCGTGCTCACCTTTTACCGTCGCATCTTCCAGTTCTCATCCATACGCGTACCCATTATTATCTTGATGGTATGCTGTGGATGCTGGATCACCATCCGGACCTTCATGACCATCTTCCACTGCATGCCTGTGCAGGCGTACTGGGATAAGTCGATTGATGGGAAGTGCATGAATAATATCGGACAATATTATCTCGGGACTGATTTGACGCATTGTTTGATGGATTTTATCATTTTGGCTTTGCCGTTGTTTGAGGTTGTGAGGATGAAGTTGATACTGGGGCAAAAGATTGCTGTCATTGGTATTTTCAGTCTTGGTTCATTGTAAGTTCACTCCTTCTTGAGTCTACCAATCGCTTACACTCTCAGGGTCGGTATTGCTTCCATCTTTCAGATCGTCGAGGCCCAAAAATACACCTCCAACTCACGAGAATTCCCCTACGACTTCTCCCTCGCCATGGTCTGGGCCAACGTCGAAGTCCACCTCGCCGTCTTCACCAGTAAGCCCCCCCTTCCAAGGTCTCTCTTTAACCATCACTAACAACCCCAGGCTGTCTCGCTCTTCTACGCCCCATATTCCGCAAATTCATCCCAGGCTTATCCTCCGGCAACACCACCTATCCCGCCAACGGCCTCAGCCACGCCTCAAACACCTACACCAACTCCATCGCCCTCCGCCGCTCCCGCAGCCCTCGGGACGTCGAGGAGGTCATTGAGGGACAGCGTGCGTACGCCTATCTGGACTACGACGCAATCAGCTTACCAGGCGCCAAAGACGTCAACTCCATCTCGCGACTGCAGGAGCGTGAGCATCATACACCTAGCATGACTGAGTCTGGCGGTAGAGGTTCCCTGTCGTCGCAGAATAGTGTCCGATGATGAAATTTTCCTTGTGATCTGTGATATTGATACCTTGATCTTTTCGTTGTATATATACCTCTGTGTGCTTTGACTCATCTTGAGGTGAGTTTTGTAATCATGGAGAAGAGATGAATTGCGTGTCTAACTATTATACAGCTTTGTTGATTGATACCCCCAATTTCATTTCTCAGCGTTCAGTGCTGGATACTCTGGAAGTTGCCAGTTTGCGATCTTTGAATCAAGGCCCATTCCTTGATCTAGCTTGAACCACGATGCCATTCTTCCCAGCGTGTGAAGCACCTGAATCCCAAACTGCGTCTTTGGCGCAAACACCGCTCTAGCGAATGCGCTCTGGTCGCCCTGCATAGATGTCGCTATCGGCCGATAGACCTCCTCATATCTCTTGACGCCCTGCACGACTCCCCTGCTGGGATCTTGCCTATACAGAGTCGCTACTTCGCCAGCGAGGACATACGATCCGATGATGGCCCATGTTGTTCCGAAGCCATTTGCAGTCTGAGCATGCGCTGCATCGCCAAGGGCTACGACACGGCCTTTGGACCATGATCCTGGAGGCAGTCGAACTTCTTGGCAGGGTGTGGAGTAGAGATCGTCTGCTTCTGGTGAATTCTTCAAGGCGTCCATGAACCGAGCGCTCTCCCACTTTCCATCTGCGAAGACATCCGCCCAAGCAGCCTTGAGATCGTCTAGCTTTCCCGACTTGTGCGCCGCTGCAAGACCCTCGTTCTGACTCTGTATGTTCATGTACACGCGCGTCATGTCCGGGCTGTCCTTTCTCGTACCGAGCCAGCGTGACCCAGGCATATGGCAGAATGTGAAGCGGTTTGTGTCGTGCGGTTTTGACAAGACACTGAAGAAGCCGATGTAGCCACCGAGAAAATGTCGTGGATCCGGAGCGTCAGGTCCAAGCATGAGCTGTCGCGTCCTTGAACCCGTGCCATCAGCAGCGACGACGAGATCAAAGTCATCTTTCTGACCATCATCAAACCCGACATGAACCTTTCCATTCGGGTCACTCTCATCATCCTGCGTCAAGCTCGCAACACTTGTTCCAAAACGATGCTTCACATTCTGCTTCCCCTGCGTAAGCCCCAGCAGAATATTTACAAGATCACCACGCATAATCTCATACTCGGTCGTGACACTCTGATGCCCAGTTCCGCTCTCAATCGTCGGAAAAAACACCTTTGTTCGACCATTCGTGTCAATCATTTGTGTCCCGACTTCATGAACATGCTTAGCGCGAATCGCAGGCTCAATACCCATCTTCTTCATGACCGCTACACCTTGATGACGAAGATCAAGCTGCTGGCCGCTCGTTCTGGGCTTGGGGGAGCGCTCGATGAGGGTGATTTCTGCGCCGGTGCGGGAGAGCCAGTGGGCTACTGAAGGGCCGGCGATGCCTCCGCCTACGACAAGAACTTTGAGTGTGGACATTTTAGTGAAGGATGGAAATAGTGGGTTATGGATGATGAACAATTGATCTGATAACTTTATTTGCGAGATGTGTCTAAATACACAGTGATATCGGTGATTTGACCCGGCATATTTGAGGTGAACAGCCCGTCTTACGCCAAAACACCGAGATGACGGTAGCCAACACGCAATGCAATGTTTCGTAAGAAGCCACTCAATTCAGCCACAGATTATAAGATTGGGGCTTTTGACCCGTTAATTTCGTTGTCGGATCTATGGCTTGATTTCCCCGGCAGATCAGATCATTTTCTCGTTGCGCAGGTATCGCGGGCCGTCATGTAATTTTCGCATTCCCAATTGAGGAGATGCATCGCGCACGTAGACTCACCTGCAGCCAACACTTCAAGCCTCAGGCCGGATACGTAATTGTCATTGTCAAATCCTGGTGACCTGATTTCTTATCGCTGACGTGTTGTGTTGGTTCTCCCTCAAAAACGGCCCCCAATCCACGACGGTCTAGAATCAGACGTGATAGGCATGCACCGCGACATCACAGCCCCAAAGCTAGAACATGCAAGGCATAGCCCAAGGCCTTCTAGAAGGACGGCAAGAATCCTTCCATTTTCGCATTCAATCAGATGCCCCATCTTGGCGTTGATCATTACGCCCAGCCTTGCTGCGATTGCATAAAATCGCCGCCCAAGTAGATCTCACCAGGCTTAGCTCTCAGAATTCTGTTGCCTGTTGTGTAGGTGTAGCCGGGCGGTGGCTGTAACCTTGGTTATTAGGCTAACAGCAACTACTCCAATAAAGTGCAATGACCCCGCGTCGACCCCGCAGGCCTGTTAGTGCACCAGCAAATGGCTTCAGTGTCAATCGGATCATCGGCATGATTCCAATTTATCCTTGTGATCAATTCCGCTGGCTTTGCTTATCCAACCAGTCACACACGCGCATGCACTGCCTCGCTTGCCCACAAATGATGCAAACGCGGAGAACATGGCAAGATCGAGGGGTCCTGCACCGCGGCACAGTTCCGTGATATAAACTGCCAAGTTTCCATCTCAACAGACGACAATAAACAAGCATCAACAACAGTCAACTTTAACCAAAATACCATTACTCGCATATTATCTACACACTTTCATTTTTTAACCATGGCTGCCCCTCCGGCTTATCAGGCCGTGGACGATGCACCCGCTCCCGGCCCAGATGACCTCACAGCCCCATTCACAGATCTCCAAATCGACTACCTCCCTCACGAACCAGATTCCAGCACCTGTCTCGCCCATCTCCGTCTGCTCTTCGCATTTGAAGCGCTCAAAGAAGACATTGGCTACACAGACGGTCTCTGGGGACTATGGGATACTCGCGCCGATGGAAACATGGTGGTCCATGAGAACGGCGACGTTGATGAACATCCTGCTGCAGGCGAATTCAACCATGAACTAGAGGATAAGAAGAAGTCGCTGAGCAAAGTGCGCGAGAAGAGATGGGCGCTGTTTGTCGCGAGGGCTGTTGATCGGTATGAGGCGTGGTGGGATTCACTCCCAAGGGAATTGAGTCGGTTGACGGAGGGTATCATGACTGATAAGAACTCTCCGTCTTTTGCGCAGTTTCCAGTTGGGGATGCACCTCGTTGGTGGGAGAAGAAGGCCCTTCCGCCTCTTGGTGAGTCAATTCAGCTACAAAAAAAGGCAAGCACTGACAAACTGTAGACGTCTTGATGGTATATCACTCTCACATGTTGAATCCCTACAACTTCCTCGAAGACTGCATCCGTCAAGGCCACCGTCAATTCTGGCAGTCCGGCATGCCATGGGGTCTCGTCAACGCCGCCATCGATGGCTCCTTCAGCTACAACGTCTCCGACGACGACAAGGCACGCTGGGTCGCCCAAACAGGTCGTCAATGGGATAACGTCGACGATCCTCTCGTCAAGACCATCTCCTGCCCTAACAAGAACTGCGCGCAGCCTTTCGACGTCCCATGGACTACCTGCGGTCTCGAAGAAACACCCAAATCCCCAGATCGCCCCGGTCTCATGGGCGCAGGCTACGGAGACATCAGGTTCGAGGCGCGCTGCCCAAAGTGCAACACCCGCGTGACAAAAGAAACCCTTAGCGTAGTCAAGTTCTGCAAAGATGCTGATAACGTCGTCTTCAAGAGCTATCCTATGCCAGGGACGATTCTCTGGCCCAACAGCGGAACACCCGTTCCCATCACAACTCGCAAGGGAAACGCTTTTGATCAACGCATGTTTCCCAATCGCATGATCCAGCATGTCTTGCGCGTTCAGATCCAGAATCTTCTCGATTCACCTGATCCTGAGGACCCGCCTACCATGGAGACTGTGCGCAAGCTGATTGAGTCTGAGGCGCTTCTCAAGCCAAGTGCTCTCGCTATCATCAACGGCAGCGTCGCAAGTGGACGATCGGGCCTCGTGCCAGCTTTCTCAAAAGTCTGTATTAGGAAGATGATGTCCCGATACTGGGAGAACTTCAGCCCTTTTGCTCTTGATCTCTGCGGCGCCGTGATGCGACAGGGTATCTTTGCTGAAAAGATGTGCAAGCTTGATTGGCTGCACTCCCCCACCGCACGAGAGACCATGGATAGATGCTGCTTGAAGTATAATCGCTTCATGAGGATCATCGCCAAGAACCCGAAGAAGACTGCTGTTCCTACCCTCGATGTTGATCTTGGCTGGCATACTCACCAACTCATGCCTTTATCGTACTTTATGTATACCACCAAGCGAGTGTTCAAGTACGTGAGGCACGATGACAAGATCGAGGATGAGAAATTGAACGATGGGTTTGAGTGGACGAGCAAGATTTACCAGGAGATGTTTGACGAGGTCTACTCTGAGTGTACATGTTGGTACTGCGAGAGCGTGCGAGCCGCACACGTCACATCAATTGGTCGCGTTCTCAAGCTCTCCCACAGCGAAAAGAGTAAGTAATCCTCACCTTTTGCAAGAAGTATAACTGAAAAATCTAGTTGCCGACAAATTTTACGAGTCCGGAGCAGCAGATTTGTGTCCTCCCGACAACTCAGCCCATATCTCCTCTCACAACGCCGTCCGCACATCAAACGAAGGCCTCGTCGCAGCAAGCCACGTTGAAAAAGTGCAAAACAGACTTCGAGAGGTTCAGAACAAGCGGCTGGAAGAGAATTACCAAAAAGCGTGCAAGCGCGCTGAGAAGAAGGGTCGAAAGCTTCCTCCCAAGGACCAGTACTACGACCACTGGGGTTATTCCTACTGGAGTGAGTCTAGCTCTCCCTGAGCTAAAGATTGAATGCTGACTGACGGCTACAGTGTACGGACCTTTCATGGCACCGGTTGTGTTTGTGCCGGTGGCATATGGGTATGGAGCTGCGCCTGGTTGTGCGGCGGGAAGTTGTGGAGGTAATGCAGCGGGTGGAGGATGTGCGGGTGGTGGAGATGGTGGTGGATGTGCTGGGGCTGCTTGTTCTGGAGGAGGCTGTGGAGGGGGAGGGGGAGGATGCGGCGGCGGCGGTGGATGCGGAGGAGGAGGCGGTGGCTGTGGTGGTGGAGGAGGATCTTAAGCAGTTTCGCC